ATATGTAGAAGCTTTTTTTTGCGCTGTCATTTTACATTCTTGTTTGAACATATTGAACCTTGACTTCAATCTGCGTTGACAAGTTGCTAAAGCCCTTCAAGTGGAACATAATAAACAATGCACATTATTCCTAGTAAATAATGAAAGTTATTCATGCATCAGTTTCAATGAATGATAAAGCATGGATGAAATCCTTTGATAAAGCGAAATAAAAAAAAATAGTAAAGTTCTTCTATGTGCTACAGTATCTTTACTTCTGGACAATTTTGACATGGCCTGGATTGTAAACAATTCAGATAAATGTGAATTATTGAAATGTAAGCGTTGTAATAATTAATGATAGTAATATTGTCTGGCATATAATGCAGCCTACAAAATTTCAAGTTGGCATTCCACAATTTTTGAGAATATTGACGAACAAGAATTGGCACAGGTTTTTTGGCAACCTATAGTAGATTTTCCATGCTTCAGCATCCACCGTATTTTACACTGCAATCTGAGGCATGGTTTCCACTGAGACAGATCGTACCGGAAACTACATTTATGTACGTTGTACCCGAGGAAAATTTGCCAATCGTAAAACAAATTTTTTGTAAAATATTAATAGGCAATAATATATAATCCACATGCGACTCCTCTTTCTACTCTTTGCCAAATGTGGGCCTCTTTACTATCTAATAGTAGCAAAGTTGTTGTAGATTTGTAAGGGTACAATGTGTTAATGACTTCATAAACTTGAGTATTTGTAAAAACACGGAGGATTGAAAGTTGGCAAGTTTTTGCTGGCCTATTTTTATCCTCATTTTGGGCCTTGCGGGGACTTAGCAGGGGATGTAATTTCCAAAATGGTTACATGCATGTGAGAGTCCCGGCCACCTCCTAGCAATGCGGAGCATCGTTTTAATGTACATCCCCGGCTAAGTCCCCGCCACACCGCCGTAGTCCTGGGAAAATGCCTCGCTAATAAATGATTGGAGGATAAAACCTACTTGAAGGTTTAGCCTACAGTAGGTCTGAATCGGAGAAGCAACGTGAGAGCTAGGCCAAGGAGATGAGGTTCCTTGATGGAAGCACTACGCGTGCGTATCACTTAGCAGTTTCCATGGAAGTTTGGACTACAATTGACAAGTGCATAATCTGTCTCTTATACACATCTAGATGTGTATAAGAGATAGATTTTTCAGTGGGATTGAGCACTGTTTCACAAAAAATTGAGATATTTTTTTTATATATATATATATATATATATATATATATATATATATATATATATATGTTTAGTAGTGTATTTTGTATAATTCCATTCCATTTTGAATGTTTACCTGTTTATCCCTACTGCAGTTTTTTTTTTCCTTTTATGACACCAGTATTACATATATTTCGTAATTTATAGATTGCCAAATTTTTCCATACCATGTGCAGTCGATGTGCTAACAACTGGTCGGTATAGAAGACTTCCAACTTGTATTAAGGTAAATACTAAACATTTTGTGATTGATAAAATATACAAAATACAATATATATAATACAGGTGTCTCTCCAATTAAAGACCATTTTTGGTACCAGGATTTAAATGGTTTTTCCAGCTTTGGTCTCTAAATTAGAATAACAAAGATAAAAGAAATTTGTTAATTTTTTATCACAGAAAAGTGTACTTTAAATGGAGGTGGTCTTAAATTGAAGGGATCTTTAATTAGAGAGAGACCTGTATACTTTATTCGCAACTCGAAAATCTTAATTGCAACTGCAAATGATAAAATTGTTATATTTTGTTGCAATGCAGGATCGGATTGTACCGGCTGACCCAATTACTGCATCAGAAAAAACTTCTGTATTGCTGAGGCTGAATCAGATAATTCAACATCGACTTGTTACATCTGAGTTGCCAACTCAACTTTCAAATCTGTCAATAGGTAAATCAACTTCATATGAATATTCATAACAAGTTATAATATAATCCATAAATATTGGTGATTATGATTATATAATCGATAATCATGATTGATATGCCTAAGAGTGATGTTTTGCCTCATTTGACATGATATCATAAGAGTATGTTTTGCCCAACCTGACCTGATAATAGCGTACCTATACTCAGTAGGTTTCCAAATACTTGCGGAAAAAATTTGTATGTGATTCAAGTATGAATCGAAACCCACAACCTCCAGATACTAGCCTGGCACCATAGCCACTAGAAGAAAACATCACTCCGATGCTATTTTCCTGATGAAAACTTGGATGGAAATATGTCATTCCTCATACATATTACAATAAGTTTTTTTATTTACATTTTGACTACATTGTATTACAAAACACTATAGAAATTCAAAGAATATAAATAGTATTATGTAAATGCCTTGTCACTTAAATGGCAATGATTTTTGTTCTTGTTATTATTTAAATATGCATTCATGTAATCAACAACAAAGATAATGTATGTCCAAGACCAGCCAAACCAGTCCCTCCTTGCAAAAATCGATTGTTAGGTATTGATACAATGTTAAAAAGTAAAATGAAAGTGATAAAATGGTAAAAGAATTATTTAAATGTAATGTTTCATTGTGAAGTTACAGGGCTTTAAACATATCAGCCTTCAAAGTTTACGATTTTGGGGAATTCTCAGACAGAGACCCTCACCAAATCATTAAGAAATGTTGTTTTAACGTCGAAGATAGGGAAAATAACAACATAGCATAATTTATAGATATATAAGGGTTAGCTTATTACAGTAACATAGATTTAGAATGTTTTGACATTTCAACATGTGTTGATCATTATTTCAGAAACATGATTTGCGAGAGTGACTTGTCTTTGCCACATATGTTTGTCAGGAATTTACGAAACAAAGATATGTCATTAGACAGTGTTTCATTTAACAGTCTCATAGCTGATAACATTATTAGTTATTTTATATATTGAGACATGTTTTCTTTGTAATCATTTCTACATAATGTTTAATTTTATAAAATTGATTTTATTGTTTCTCTTTCTGTTAAAAGTTGATGGCACTGTGAAATTCCATGTTCCTCAAGAGTTTGAAGTAAGAGCAGCAGGTTTATTCCAAACATACTGAACATTATTTATAGTACTACTGTTAAGGGGACAGGGACACTTTATGAGTGGGACTAATGATCAAATAAATACATATTTAACCCCTATTAAGGGGACACTTACTTTTTTTTGTCATTGTATCACAACTACTACAACAGTCTCTAAAATAAAACAAAAAGTCATTCAACTTTTTATTTTGACACATTTTAAGCATCAAACCTGAATTTTCTCCCCTGAATCCTTAAGTACTGTAAAATTAATGTAGTAAATTACATTGGTGAATAAAAAATGAATTTCTATTCTTACACTGAAGAACATTATTTTATGTGAATAATAGTGGTACAAGGAACAGCCATACACAATGCACAACCTCACACACTCCCTGTGGATTATACCTAACCAAGTGTAATTCAGAACAGACCAATTGAATTTAAGTCTATTACATCCTACAAGTTACCCATCTATATTAGTTCTTGGTTTGGTTCCTCTTTAAGCTTCCATTTGGGAAATTAACCAAGAAATTAACACTTAATTTTTTGTCATTGTATCACAACAACTACAGCAGTCTCCAAAATAAAATAAAAAGTCATTTAACTTTTTATTTTGAAATATTTTAAACATCAAGTCTGAATTTTCTCCCCCTGAATCCTTAATTACTGTAAAATTAATGTAGTAAATTACATTGGTGAATAAAAAATGAATTTCTATTCTTACACTGAAGAACATTATTTTATGTGAATAATAGTGATACAAGGAACAGCCATACACAATGCAAAACCTCACACACTCCCTGTGGATTATACCTAGCCAAGTGTAATTCAGAACAGACCAATTGAATTTAAGTCTATTACATCCTATAAAGTACCCATCTATATTAGTTCTTGGTTTGGTTCCTCTTTAAGCTTCCATTTGGGAAATTAACCAAGAGGTCTCTGAAGAGCAGTTAGTTATGGTTGATTGAAATTAGATGGCCTTGCTATAGAGTTGCCTTTAATCCTGGTTAGAGAGAGGGAGACAAACATTGATGAAATATCTTACACAAAGACACATGCGATGTGACAAGAATTGGACAATTAAGTAATACGTACAAAAATGTATAAAATATATTCATTAAAAACTATAATAAATAATCATAATGATGTTATTAATAATCATAATTATAATAATAATAATTAACTACATTACTGTTTCATTGCCTGCAGAAAAAAATTAATTAAATGGTTTTAATAATGAAGAATCGTATATTATACATTTTAGAATTTATTATCTGCACAATGGATAATTAACTGTAAATACACCTCAGTGGTGGATCCAGGAACTTAATATAATAGATGCCCAAGAATGGTCATTTATGGGCAAAGGGTCCAAACCACTTCAGGCTCACAATTGTTAGTGCTAAGGTACAAAATTTGATGGCTAGGCCTATGGCACCTGTAGATAGCCTGAAATGGCAAGAATTAGTGAATTGGCCTATAGTCCTCATTTATATTTATTCATGTAAATAATTTTTGCAAGATGTTTTGTTTCAATATATATTATTATAGGAAACTCATTTGTTTTTGTAACTTTAGGCAACCTTGACGCTAATGGGAGATGACCAGTCCATTCCATGGAGGCTTCTTCATGTGGACATCTTAGTCAAGGACCCTGACACAGGGGGTAAGTAAACTAAATTGAACATCTTAATATTTTCTTAGCATTATGGCAAAATATGATGATAATGGTGAAGACGGTGATGAAGAGTATGGAGACAATGTTAATGATAGAGGGGATGAAGATGATTGTGGCGATGATGACATTGATTATAACTTTGACGGTTATGATTATAATATTGATTGTGTTGAAGGATATGATAATGTGATGATTTTATTTTAATAGTGAATAATGCTTTGTTTATTATTTTAATAAAAATATGATTATGATGATAATTATGATCGTAATCTTGATCATGAGGATGGTGTTGATGATAATCATCATCATGAGGATGGTGATGGTAATCACGATCATAATGATAGTGATATTTCTGATAATTATTTTTATTGTCGTTGTTGTTGTTTATATTTGCTTGTTTTTTAATTGTAGATGGTAAAGCTTTAGTGCACAGTATGCAAATTCACTACATCCACCAACTTGTGCAGTCAAGATTGTTTACAGAGGAGAAACCACTCGCTGATATGTACAGCCTGCTTCGTATCCTTCCATGTTTTGACACCCCCCGCCCCCTGCTCACTAAATTGCTACCATTGGAAGTTGTCTAAGTAAACGTTTTAAGTTTTGTTTTTTTTTTTTAATCCTGACCCTAGTAGCTCCTTATGTAAGTTGCCTTGTGTTTTGTGTACAGCATTGTTTTTATAAACTTTGTTAATTTGTACTATACGTCAAATTTCAATACCTTATCTATGCACAGATAGTTTTTGTCAGTCACTGCAGCTTGAAGTACTCAACTCCCAGGTAGGTCTTACTCATTTGCATACAGTATATAGGTGTCATATCCAGGTTTTATTAATTTTATGTTTTTCTTAAAATTTGCATTATATTTAGGCTGGATTGCTAAGTACAATCTAACTACAGTAGAACCCCTTCTTTGGGACACCCTTATTATTTGTTGTTTGAGGCTGTTATTGCAGTTGTAATGTAATGTAGTGCTGCTTGATATAGCACTTATGCCATATTGCAACACAAATAAAAAGGTGGTGATGAAAAGAATAACAAAAGTTCTATACCTGTATACTACTCCTATTATAACCCAATTATGATTAACACATAGGTTATAGGTAAAGCTGACAGCTGAGCTGTTTGTGCAGAAGTCTATGGCTTGAGACTAAAGATATTTGTATATTCAATATTATTAGGCCCACCGTTTGATGCGTGAGAGATGGGGAGAACACATCGCTATCACAGGCTACATGGCAGCGCAGAGTCTTAACCTGGCCTACTGGAGGTAAATCTTAATTGTGTTTTTATTTTGGTATTTGGATAGTGACACATTGATAATGGATGCTAAAGAACAAAACATGAGTATTGGGCAATGATAAAAGTGCAAATTAAATGGGATATGCCCATATTTGGGCATAATATGACAGCATCATTTGTATGGACAGAGCCTTACATGTGCCCAAGAGGCAGTGACCTATCTAAGTTTTGAAATGGGGGTGCTGATGGGGGGGGGGAGGGGGTGTGAAAGTGAAGTGGGGAGCTCGATGATCAGTTGAGGGTCATTAACTCACAAAATAAGGTGATTTTAAGTGATTTTTAATCTTGACAATGATTTTTGGGGGACGACTGTGGGGAACGCAAGTAATTTTTGGAGGGGTATGCGCACCCACCTCCTCCCCCAGATACTCCACTGCCTGGAAGGCAATAAAGGTAGAACAAAGGTAGAACATTTTTTATTAACAAAACCACGGTATTGTATAGTGTATTATAACACGCCTAAACAGATCCCAGTCATTTGATTGGTTGATTTCCTACCACATGACTAGTTATTTTCCTCATTTCATCACTCATCATGAAAATTTTGTTCCACCATGCATTTTTTTCCCACCTGTATTGTCCGTTACCCGTTGCCTATGGATATGAAATGACCTTAATCTAATGCGATCTTTTGATTGGTTAAAAAGACGCAGGACTGACTTTTTCCGGAAGTTTAAATTCATGAAACGGAGTCACATCACCTATAACCATAAGCCTAATTCTTGCTGAACTTATCTTAGCGGTGTGCAATGTATCAGAGATTTTATATAGGCCTACTCAGGGAATTGTTATGGTTTACTGTAAAGTATTTTAATAACGTGGATGATACCTCAAAAACTAGCTCAAATTTGCACAAAATCTGTGCAGCATTCGGCCCTTATTTACCTATAGCCTATTCCCTGATCAGGTGTCAGGCATAACTTTTACAGCCTGGGACACTTGCTTGGAAGATGATCAAATGACAAGGATCTATTTAGGTGTGTTATAAAACATATATAATCAGTAATGAATGTTTTGTATTCATGCAATGGAAAGAATAATATTTTCATTCATTGAAAGAATGACTGTTCCATTAAACTCTGCTTTGCCTCGTTGAATTGAACAGTAAATCTTTCAACTCTTGAAAATATACTTCCCATTGCACTCATAAACATTCATTATTTGCATACTATACAACAAATATAGGCTTATCCTTGTACCTTGACTTATGCCGTTCACTCTGTCTGGTAGAATCTGCATCATGATGTTCGTCAAATTTTGTTTTGCCTTCACCCAAATGTCTGGCTTCTACCTTTAAATCTCTGGCCTATAGTTCAAGTAAATTACAGTGTTGTCATATATGTTGAAGCTTGCGGTACACCACGTAGGGAGTTCTGAAAAGAACTGTTGTAGTTGAGAAAGTCTTGACATTTCAATTGAGTTGCTTCAATCGTCTTCAGGAGAATAATATCTGCAGAAACTCCAAACAGAGAAATAATTATATGTTTGGGTAGAGAGGCTGGATGGTGATTGGATGGATAAACTGACCAATGAGAAGACTGCTAATGAAATGCTAAAACAAAAGCCATTGTTATCCTGAAAGAAATAGTTCAAAAATAGAAAAAAATTGGGGAAAATAGCAGCCAGACAATGTTTAAGAGTGATGATGGCACCAGCAGTGGTCCTGTCAAACATGCCTGCACCACCGTCTTCTGAAGCCACAACAAACTTGTCTTATCCAAATAACATTATTTTAGTTGCCAGTCCCTAATATTGTGGTCCAAATGAACAATTTTTTTGCCATGTTAAGCCATAAGAACTGCCCCCATGAAACCTATAAGGGATTTAATTCCAGGACCCTGACAAAGGCTCTAGTTTGGCCCATGGTACAAATCCCCTGTCGACTAGAATTGGTGAAGCTTAGGATTGTGAAAACAATATATTTTAATCCAGACATTTGAAAATGGATTTTCAAGGAGATTTCTAGTTTTATGGAATGTAATTTTTGCAGGGCACAGAACTATTGCTTAGATAAATCCAAGCATCAGCTGTACTCAGTAAACATATGTGTGGACAAGGACTCTTTACAGCCATTGGACGTTAAACACACACCACCTTTGACCCCTTCAGAGGCAGCCAAGGTCAATCAAGCAATTAAGGTAAAGTACCAAAATACTCAAATATTCCTGAAGTATATATAAACAATAAAAAAAAATCTTTTATTTGTAACAAATGTAATAATTTATATTCAAAATAATAAATAGTAATTTTTTAATTCCTTTTTTTTTTTTTTTCAGAGTGAGATGTTATCAATTGAAAGACTTCTTGTTGAATCAATTCTCATAAGGTCAAAGGCTAAATTACAGGTAAATATTGATAAGTCACAGTAAACTGGGGATCAAACCAAATATAACTGTCCGACTTATATCATCTTGTTTGATAAGGCCCGGCTCTTTTAACATCCACTCCAACATGAACGCACTTTCTCCACTGTCAAGTTTATTACATTTCAATAATTTTTACTGAACTGTGGACCAAATATATCTGCAAAACAAGCAAGTTTTGATGGGTTGCACTTTACAAAGTTATGTTATTCTCCTTTTACTTTATATGAGTTCATAAAAATTTGACGTTCATCGCTTTCCCTGTAAAATGTGTTGGTGGCTTTCTGTGTATGCTGAGTACAAATCAGTGTTAGAAATTACAGCCTTCAAACACACATAAATCCAGATTGATTGTGATCATATTTATTTTTGTAGGAATTGCAACTTGATTTGAAGAAAGCTAATATCTCTACTAAAGGTAAGTTATTTTTATGTTATTATTTATCAAAATTGTTACTTTTAACTACAAAAATTTTCGTTGATACCAAGTAAAAACAATTAAAACATCCAACAATGATTGAATATGTGTGTTTTTTTTTTATTCCTCTAGCTGTTATCCAAGGCAACCCTCCTGTATTGAGCATTGCTATCCTGGAGCCTTGCGGTCCATCCGAGTACCTCACCATCTCAGTGGATATGCAGACTGGTCTATTCCAGCCATATGTGGCACATGCTGGTTTGTTTTCAAATACTTTTTAATCATATTTGTAGAGGGTGACCCTTCCAGCATATTTTAGAAAGTCCGCTGATATTCAAGGCACCAGTTAAAAAATAAATGAAATGATGTAATGCTTAAGAAGTAGAGATGTATTTTAGTTGTGAGAAAAAATCCTGGACTGTCACTGGAATTGAACCCAGGACTTGAAAAGCAAGCACTATAATGACCAAGCTACCTTTTCATTCCAAATATATTTAATCAATCAATTATTCACATAATTATACATCAAACAATATTTCCAACCCGAACCTTGTGAAGCCTAAATTGAAGAATTTAGAATATATTAATAATAATAATAATAACAACATAGAAGGCGATACTAATGCAGTAATATTAATATGATGAAGACTGTAATGAAAATGAAGAAGTCATAGTATAAAAAATAATAATATTATGATAATAATAATTTTAAAATTCATTTGTTTAGGATCAGTTTGTGAAGCCTAAATTGAAGAATGTAGAATATATTAATAATAATAATAACAGCATAGAAGGTGATAATAATGCAGTAATATTAATATGGTGAAGACTAGAATAAAAAGGAAAAAGTCATAGTATTACAAATGATAATGCTTATGATAGTGATAATTATAAAAATGTATTTGTTTGGGAACAGTGTTTGATCTTACCACAATACCTCCTAATAGTTAATTTTATTCATTACTTCTATTATTATTAATTTGGGAGTCAATAGTATTACAAATGATCATGCTTATGATAGTGATAATAATAAAAATGTATTTGTTTGGGAACAGTGTTTGACCTTACCACAATACCTCCTAATAGTTAATTTTATTCATTATGGGAGTCAATAGTTCTTTCATAGTGTTAATGCTATCGTATAATTTTATTATTTTGGTTAAACGTTTCTTGTCATTTTTCAGGTGCTGCCCTTCTTGAGGAAATTGAAGAATGTTTGAACTCTGACCCCACAAAACTTTATCAATATATAATCAGATTAAAGTAAGTTGAACATTATGATAAAATGTTTTTTATTATATCATAAACAATTTTAATATTAGTACACAATGTCTCTTTAATTGAAAGCTAAAATTATACTTGTAATGGATGCATCAGAGAAATAAAGGCTAACTCGGATGTGGTCCATGGTTAGTCTTGTGAGAGTAAATAGGTGCAGTACTGTTAACAGCTTCGCTTAATAGATCACTTGTATTAAATTGATTCCCCTTCCATTTTTTTTCCATATTCAATCTTGAGATCCAATAACTTATTAATTTTCTTATTGTCTACTTAATCCAACGCAGGTTCACCATCAGTATTGAACATTGCAAACGTGCAGTTCAACTTCAACCTGTCACCTGCCTTGAACGGCTCCCTCTAGTGTCTATCTCTGCTGACCATCCGTTGACCAAAGTCTCTCCTAATCGTCTGTACCTGAAACTCACCAAGCATAACAACTACTATGTGGTTAGTACACTAGAGCAGTGGTTCTGAAACTATGGATCACCAAAGTAATCAGAGGGTTTTTTAAAAATTTTATATTATGCTAAAATTTGGTGTAGTAACGAGAGCACATAATAATAATTATCATTTAAACATTTTACTTCAGTAAACTTTACAAGTTAATTACCTGTTGTGAACGTCCCGGGAAATAGTTGGCTGCAGCAAGTTGCTTAGATCTTTAAGCTATTTGTGGTTTGTGGTGGTTTTTGTTGCTGTTTTTATACAGTGTACATGACTCTTTCTGTTTCAACTTAGGTTGTTGAGTTTATCACTGAACTAGGTGGAGAATTCGAAACTCAGATCAAATATTACCTCCTTCGGGTGCGACCTTCGACATACTATGATCAAACCGCTCATGATGCTCAGCACCCTGACCCTGACACGGCCAAGAGTTTCTTAGCGCCGCTGACCCTGTTTCCTATCGACCCACAAAGTTTGGTTCACGGTCCTAATACAGCATTTGAAGGTAAGCCAAGTTTTAATGGTGATGGTGTCCTTAATGGTGGTAAAGATAATGGCCATGATGTTTGTAGTGATGCTGGTGATAAGGATAGTGATGGTGCAGGCCATAATAATTGTTATAATGGTGGCCATTGCGCTAACCATGATGTTGGCGTTGATAGAGGCTATGTTGCTGGCGATAAGGATAGCGAAGATGATGGTCAAGATGATGGCCATAACAATGGTCACTGTGCTGGCCATGATAATGACAACGATGATAGCAATGATGGTGGCCATGATACTAATCATGATGGTGATCCTAGCAGTGATATTGGCAATGATGCTGGCTATAATGATGGTCATTATGATTATCATGATGCTGGCCATGATGCCTTTGATGATTGTTTTAACAATGACAATGATGATGCAGTACAGTATAATAATGAAATATTATAATAAATAGTGTTTTTAACTAATCCACTTCTGTTACATCTTGCAGGTAGCTTAGGTCTCAACAAGAGGAAGCAAATTCAAGATGGCTTCCATCATGTATCAAGTGCCAAGAGGCGCAAGTTTGATCATGAGCATTACTTTCAGGATCAACTGGCACACATTACTGCCCTCTGCGACATGCGTATCCCTTACATACAGTTACTAGAAGAGGTATGCCTAATACTTGTAGGATAATGTTAGCTAATCATAATCCATATATTTAGTGCAGTACACACATTATTAGTAATTTCCTATTGACATACTCAATATATTTGGTAAAGATATTATCACTGTACCCATTAAATTGAATATTGTCCCTTCTTGGCCCCTCTATTTTGAATTCCTCGACCTGAGACTGTACCTGATAGAGTTCTTACAACTGCTCTGGTTTATAAACAGCTTTTGTTCTTTAATTTCAGCTAAGTAAGAATAATATTTGTCATCAAGGTGTGCAGGTTGAAGGTGAAGGTGCTGGACTTGTATTGAAGCTAACAAGGTAATAATCATTGTCTGGTCTCGAGGGCGGACCTTTCCGCTAAGCCCCGCCCCTTGGATATTGTTGCTAAGGTCACAAAATGACAGTGTAAAGCATACGCAAACATGTGCATTTGTGGGACAGCATGTGTGCTTGTAAGACACGCGCGTATTCCTGGCACTGATCTGATTGGTCAGTTGTTCAGTTTGATTGACACTCCGAAAAGGTCCTTTATAATGGAGACCTCAGTAAAGCCGAGCGGAAGATGGCTTTTTAGGCTGTCCTCTTCTACTTTACCACTGTATATATCTCATAATTCTTTGAGCCTAGCGACGTCCTAACTAAATTATGATTTCATTGAAGAAATATTTATATATTATTGAATGATCTTATTAGATTAGATGGTGATGGACTAGCCAGGCCTAAACAGGATGGTTCCTAGATCTGAGGCCTAACTTTTAATGAAAGTTGATGCCCCACTGACTAGAAGCATCAACCACTACACTGGGCATGGCTACCGCCCAGGCCAGGCCTGAATGTACAAATCACCATGACACCATTATGATTTACTAGTACTACTTTTTAAATTCAATTGTACAAAAAGGCTATAAATTTAATATTAAGTTTACTTGACATTATATATATCTCACCATCAAATATATATATATATATTTTTTTTTTTAGCCCACCGCCATTTGACGGAACTTGTACGCAGGCAGCAAAGGAACTTGGCAAGAATCTTATCAGCTGTTGCTTCAGACTTCAGCTACACAGCATGAGGTGGCAGATACAGGTGACAATAATAATTTGTTCTTAGAACTGCATATCCAAGGTCAATTTAGGTCATTTGACATAAAGCTATGTTGTGTATAATGACGTTTATGTTGATTGCCCGTGATAGAAGCATGCGCGGTTTTAACTACAAATTGGCTTATTGTATTGATGGATTAATAAATTAAATATTTGATTGATTGATTTTACATATTGGTTGATTTTTTTAAATGATTTAATAATTGACTGGTACATTGATTGATTGATTGATTGATAGTTTTTATTACATTGATTTACATTATTTTTATTATTATGATTATTATTATTTTAAAGCAAATTTGTACTATTTTTTAACCAGCCGTTAGTGATGTTTGCAATTCCAAAAGAAATATATAATTTTTGAGATCTTGATACTTGATACTGCATGTTAATATAAACAGATCAAGTCAAATATTACAGGATTTGAGTTATAATTTGCCCATTCATTATGAGAAGAAGAGATGTTTTACCTTAAGAGCATGTAGTTAGGTGTGTACCTCCTTAATGACTAGTCTATGGCTCCATTTGTCAAATTACAATAGAATAGTAGAAATAAGAGTTATCACAATATTGGATAATATTTCCATATGTGTTTTCTTGTACAGTTGTGTTTTGCAAATTGTCCATTACGGAGCACTAATCCCAAGGAGCAAGGTAAGAGCATGCTCAAGTTAAGATCGTTATTACTTTTGATTTTTTTTTTGATATATTAGTTTTATTTTAATTGTCATTGCTGCCCTCTGTAATAAGTTTATTACTATGTGCTGCCCTCTAGAGTAAGTCCACTGCTATGATTTGCTGCCCTCTATAGTAAGTTCACTGCTATGATATGCTGCCCTCCAGAATAGGTATACAGTAGAACCCCTCATTTACGAATTCCCGATTTTACGAACGTAAAATCATGTAATTGTCATAAATAAAGTTCCTATTTCATGAACAAAACACACACCCGTGTCAAGAATTAATCGTTAGGCGCGGGCTAGAGTTTATTCACTCGGTCTTAGACAGTTTGCTGTACACTATCAGCGATCTCTACTACAGATAGTGTGCTTTGAATACACCGACATTCAACACGGCGATCATACTTCATGTCTGCAGCCGTGAGAAAACTCTGCCGATTGCGTAACTTGTCGGCATATCGATAGGCGCATGATTTATTCATTTCTGAATACACCACCCTCATATTGTAATTTAATGAACCCCCTAATTATGAATGGAATTTATTTATCAAATCTAACTAACGTTAATCTACCATTTCATTATTTCCTTATAAAATAAGACACTGACACCCACATTTTCTTTTTATAACTTTATTATTCATTTAATAAATGCAGGCGTAGAACAATCGTATTGCATACAAAAAAAGTCCAAGCGCCGTGTCTACAGCCAATCAGCGCTCTTCTTTTAAAAAGTTGAGAACCCCTGGTTTCCGGGTTATTCTGTACAGGGTCTTTACATGACACCACAACCACATGGATCGAGTGAAAAACGTTGGTTACTCGCCCTGTTGTGGCGCCCGCTGGGCTGTGTTTCTTCGTAAGCTAGACAATAAGTCATATTATTTGCCTGAGAAAGAGAGAATGAAGTTTCTATACACATTAACAAGTATGTATAGAACTGTACATTATTATGATCGTTATTTTGAATTTCTTTCGAGCGCAAGTTGGAGTTTTGGCTCCAGTCCAACAAAATTTAAGTCCAGGCCTAGCCTAGTCCAGCCTAGCATATCGGTAGTGTAAATACTGTACATAGGAATTTCACACAACCCCAATTTTACGTACGAATGATTTTTACGAACACCTTTGGGCCCGTCCCGTACGTAAATGAGGGGTTCTACTGTATTACCTTAATATGTTGCCCTCTATAGTCTACCTGCATACAAAGTGTACTGAAAGTCAGTCAGAAAAATAAAAATTCTAACAACTGTGAATATAGTTGACAGACTACCCTAGTTTTATATTATTTTGTTATTATTTCTAAACTTATTAACTATTACTTCATCGCATATGTTTTTTTCTAGTGCCTATACGAAGTGTGTCTCTATCCTATGACCATACTACTGCCGGTACTGTTGTAATGTGGAGGCACTTCATCCATGAATGGAGCGCCATCGTGCGGCTTTACAAACCTGTCCTTGAATTTGCTCCTGTCATTAATGGTAATCAATTTTATAATTTAATAATTACTTATTGTATACTGTAAATATTATAGAACTTATATGTATAATAACAATGTGTTTGAATTTAAATTTAAAGATTATGCCAACCAGTTGAACATGGAAGTGAGGTCTTTCTCGTACAAGCGTCTGACAATGGCTTACGGAAAAGACAAAGCAAATACAGTGAGTGCAAAATTACTCCGCATTAGATTATTCCCACAATGAAGTTCATCTAGGAATATAATAAATTATTAATAAGTAATTTTTAAGCAACGTTACTAAACAAATTAAACAGTAGATTTATTATTGATTTAATTTCAACTTTTTTTTTTTAGGTAACAATCCGATGGGAACCAGAACGAAAATGTTTCACTTTGCCACTCGGAACTGGAGGATCTGCTAAGGCTGCCAACTGTCATGTGATCATAATGGAACAACTCCGTCAGGAGTTCAACCAACACCAGAATATTGCACAACTCATGCAGGTAAGGCGAGACTTTTTTTATTCTTATTCTTATTTTTATTTTTTTTTTTTTCGCGTACTTATATTTTTAAAGATCATCAGAGGAGAGCGGAATAAAAATAAAAATAAAATTTTTTTTTCTTATTTAGCAAATAATTTTGCCAAAAACATTCAGATGGAGGAGAAAATAAAAATAAAATTTCATTGATGAATGTAAAATAGGATGGCTAAATGCTTCAAATTTATATAATTAGGAAGAAATATACCTTATATCTTATATCTATATCTTATTTCAAGGCAGCAGAGGGTATAATAAAAATAAAGAAAAAATTTTATTTTTTTCTGGGATTTCCACTTTTTTGTTACAAAGGGTGCGCTAATTGGCCAAAAATAAAATTTAGTTTTTATTCGAAATCATCAAAATACAGCATATAGAGGGCATCTTATATCACTAATTTTACTCTAGAGGGCAGCATATAGCAATTGACTTATTAACTTGCATTGGCAGCAGCAAACATAAAGTGACACAGTCACATTTAATAAAATAAGCTATCAACTGGACTAAACAAAAAACAGTTAACAGCCTAAACTAATTTTAAATAAAAAAAAGCATCAATGTTAAATAATTACTCTAGAGGGCAGCATACTATATCAATGGATTTATTCTAGATGGCAGCATACAATAGTAATCAACATAGTCTAGAGGGCAGTATATATATACTTCTGGTATTGAAAGCTTGTATAATAAAATAATTTAAAAGTTTGGAGTGCTACCATTGTTTTATTTTAAGCAATTAATAAGAAATCGATATGCTAAGGCTATTACAGAATGTGCTGCATGTAAAATATTCCATAAAACTGTTTGTTTTTAGGTCTTACAAGATACATACATTCCTCTTCAAGCAATTGCCAAATTACCCACAAGGCCCGGGTTAGGTGCTGGTTCGGTAAGTAATAATTTCACTTAACCTACTACTATTTAATATTCTAACTCTAAATTTAATTTATGCAAAAACTAACCAATCAAAATTCTTCATTTCATAGCATGCCCATTATCCACTGCAACAATTCTGTGTGGTGCCTCAGTCGTCCACGCACATTAGAATCGCTTACAGAAGCATCTACTGCATCGATATCCAATGTCGTGGAAAGAATATGGTCGCCATCAGAGGTGCGTATACATTTAGAAATCATTATTTATAGTATAGTTTTTAATAGAGATGCTATTTTTCCAAACCTGTATTATGGCACTAAAGACTTAGTACTTCAGAAAATACCAAGTGATCAGGTGAGAAATGAACCCACAACTTACTAGCATGGTATCAAAATACCAGACCAATACTAGGGGTGAATTTGATTCCCACATAGCTCAGTAAGTACTGCTATGATATTACGAAAGCTTGCATTATGACAATTCAGCAAAGGTGCCATTTTTTCTCAACTTGACATGTACCTGTTATCATACTGAATGTTTATTTTATCAGACTTTACACTGGAAATGGTATAAACATATGTAAGTCTAGTGTGGGAGGAGGTGTCATTAGGGGCATCCACCTCTAAAAGCATTACATAAACGTCTGGGGAGATAAAGCACTGCAAGTGTCCACTCAGAACATATATTGGCAATTAACAAGTACTTACAGTATTCATATAATTGTTTTAGTACTATATTTTAATTTGAGAGTATTGAAGAGGTGTTTTTGATTGTTAACAGCAATCTTAGCTTGTTTTGGTTTCATTTTTATTATCATTTTCAGATGGAGCTCATAGTTTGTTTGATACCAGTAAAGTTGTCACAGGTTTTAATCCCACCCCCAGTCTAAAGGTACGTATTTTATCTTAGCTTATTATAATTGTTTCTTAAATTCTATAGCTCAGTCAGCCAAGCTGGTGGTAGCCGTGTGTGCACCGAACCATGGAGATCCTTTGGTACCCGGTTCAATTCCATCCATTGCTCTCCTTGTGTTTCAGCTATCAGGCTAAAATGCAATTATAAAAAAGTGCACCAGAGGGTCCCAGAGGGTCCACTGATTAGTTTCAGACACGAAAGAATATTACATACTTCAAGAAATGAAATACATGCCATCGTGCTGGGATTCAATACTCTTTATTGGGTCGTCATCATGAAAAAGCTCACTGTTTTTCAGATGAGCCGTTCAAACGTTTTTGTCCCATCTGCAGTATGGCCCAAGTGCGTGTTAAAGGACAAAGTACATTTTCCAAAGAAAGTAGGGGATTGTTCTCATAGTGTACTCTGCCCAATAATCTCCAGAAAGACCCTATTGGACTTCCGTGGCGTATCATTGGTGTCCACACTTAGACCAAACTTATATATGTATATTATGTAATTAAATTCATTATTGCTGTTTTTTATCAAGTTTCACATTAATATTTTTTTTATTCTGCTAACCACTTTTTGCAGGTTTTTCTTGACATGTTTGTTGATGACACCATCTTGTATGCTAAGCGTCGCTCAATCACTGAGGACGACAACCCTCCATCCCCTGTTGCGATGGACACAATGGATCTGTTTCCACAAGCCCAGCAGCCTACTGGGGCAAGTCCTTTGCAACGTGCCAGTCAGCATAGTACAGGTTATGGCCATGCTGTGGCAAGTAGCCCAGCACATCCAGCCTCACCACATACATCAGTCCTGCAACAAGTAAGATAAT